AAAGAAATACAAATCTCACAGGTGCATTCCTGAAAATGTTGCAATGGAAGAGTAGTAATAATATTAAATGTATATATATATATATATTAAATAAATTTTTTTAAATTTAATTACATTAAAAATCACGTGAAGATCATTTTTGAAAAACTTTTAAAAAATTTTTATTGCATTTTTGAACGAATCACGAAATTGCTATTTTTGAAAATTGGCCACGTGGCGCAGCAATAGGAGGTCTCTAGACCGAGCCAACTATATGGAGAGTGTTATTATAACGGGAGTGATATTTCCAATAATTAATTTTGTCGCCTGCAATACGGTATTTAAAGAGGAAAATGGTAATTAACTACGATAATTACGTACTTACAGTAATTATGCAATTACCATCTCATGTATAGTGTCAACAACAGTTTGCATAGAAAATTTTCACAATAGTAATTAATTTGTTGCCCGTAATTAATTTCATCACCCGTAATTAGTTTCGTCACCCGTAATTAGTTTCATCACCTGTAATTAGTTTTGTCGCCCGTAATTAATTACGTAATTATGTTTTTAAAGAGTGAAAGTGGTAATTAATTACGTTAATTACGAATTACGTATTTATGGTAATTAGCTAATTACCATATCATGTATAGGCACAAGCCTAAGATAATAAAATAAATGATATTTGTACAACTGCTCTAGCTAAGGCATCCCAAAGGAGTATTTAATTAAAGTGAGAGGTGCTTCTCAGCAAAGATTTATCAAAGGGTTTTATTTATTAAGAATCAAGATATTTATTGTAAAAGTGTTATGTGTCTTTATTAGCAATAATAATTTGGGTATAAGGTTATGATTAGATTATAATTATTATTGTACCATGAACATGATGATTCTCACTTGGTCTAGAGCCAAGCCCTTTTATACCTCTTAAGTTATTACAAATAACATGACTTTTACAATATTTTGTCAAATAAAATATGCTTATTAATTCCAATTTTTGTATTAATAGCTTACTAATTTATAATTACTAATGCTACTAATAAGTTAAATATAGAAATGATGAAATGATCTACTTGTGTAAGGTTATACAATATGTAGCACAGCAGTTACGCAAAATATTAAGTAAAATAAAATGATGATACAATGATCATCACGTGATTTCTGCAGTAAGTTGGTTTCGATTGATTGACATAATCGGAACCTCTTCAGTCCTTATTTACAATCTCACAATATCATGTGAATATGACTTATAAAAAAATTTCTTATACCCAAAATAATAATTAATCAATAATTGCACATCCCTTTGCTAAAATCTTGTTTCACTTATAATAAAAATGAATGAAGGTATTTTTTCTTATAACTTTTTTAAAAATATAATAATAAGGGCTTTGCAACTTAACTTAACATTTTCTTTATAATAATGTTTAGCTAAATTTTATTATGGTAAATATTATAAATTAACTTAAATAATTTTTATTAAAACATCCAATTAAATACTTTTATTTTTTTATTTCTTTATAATATGTAACTAGGGGGTAAATACCATTATAAATTAATATTAATTTTTACAACACAAAATAAATATCATCTAATTAAATAATTTTATTTTTTTATTTTTTTACAACAAACAGAGGGTAGGTATCATATTATAAACTTTTACAACAAAATAAAGCATCATCTAATTAAATAAATTTATTTTTTATTCTTTATAATAAACCAGCTAGTAAGTATTGTGTTATAAATTAAGGATACTGGCTGCAACTTTTGATGATGGTTGCTACCATCTTTGTGTCATATAAAAATGATTGCAACTGCTGGTTGCAACCACCTTTACAACCATTTTTTGGATTGTGACTAAGGTTTCTGGCTGAAACTCTCTTTATTAGTAGCCAAAATTGCCAAAACACTTTGGACAAAATTTACTTTTTTATAAGCCAAACTATTTTTTGTTATTAACTAAATTGGGCGAAATTACTTTAAAGTTGTTTAAGTTAAAATAAGTTGAATGGTATAGTTTTTTAATGTTCATGTTTATAAAAAATGCTGAGAAGCCCAAATTGCCCAAACTAGTTTGGGCTTTGAGAAAACAGTTTGGTCCAGAAACCTTAATTGCAACATGGAACACTAGATTCTTTGAACCAATTAATATATAACAAAGTCAAGGCAAGATTGAAAACAAGTCCCATCATCAACTTTTTTATGTTCCTTGAAAGTATGCAATTTCATCAATTTTTTCTTTTTAGCTGTTAACTTCTTGGGTTGAGCAATAAAGTTCTCAAAACCTTCATCAGTCTTGTGAATGAAATTGCTATTAATAGCTGCAATATCTTTATTAGGCTCAAGTTGTTCACCAAGAGTTTTATAATCAAGGTCCTTCATGCTAAGTTTAACTGAATATACACAAAGGGTTAAGTTGCTGAATTTAATATTTTCGCACATGTTTTAATATATTTTTTTTAGAAGTATTAATCTAAATAATTATAACTCTAAATTGTAATTTCACTACAAATACTTTCACTGTTCTTAGATAGAAAAGCATTGAGATCATCATAAAAAACCTGATACCACCTATGAATTCAATCTCCAACCTTCTATGAAGTAATTTTACATCAAACATTCTCATAAGAAATCCTATAACTTGAGAGCTAAGAGGGTCAATAACTTTATCAGAATAAAATATACAGAAATCAATTTCATTCAAGAAATAAAGATAATATCTTTTTTATAAACAAAATTAGATCACAAAGATGTCTACTCGTAATGTAAAATATGTTAATGTTAAGCATATACATTTATATCTCTAAATTATAATATGAATGTTAATGCTATGCGTATACATACATATCAAGATTTCATTATTGATCGGCATTATGTTACATCACCTAATTTTGATTTAATTAGGGCATCTCACACCCCAATGGCTCATGTGTGTGCAGCTCTGGCCTCCTTGCCTTATGGCTGCAGAAGGTGACAGAACTGATATTGAAAATTATTGAAACTAAATTCACAACATTCTAAGATCAATGTTGAAACTATTTTAATTCATAACAAACATTTATCACAGTATATATATATTAGTATTGTTTTTATTATGGTTATAGATAACTAATCAACGTTTATTGCACTATTTATAATATATGCACTTGTTACTATATGGTAATAGTAATAGCAAATATTTTGAAATGTATAAATAGTGTTCAATTTGTACCAATTATAATAAACCGTACCATAATAATCGTGATAATAATAATAAGCCAAAACAAATAAGATCAGAAATCGAATTTTTTAAATATATAGTAATAGCATTAATTTATTTTGTTTGAAGATCAATTACATCACAAATTTTATTTTAGATCTAAAAATACAGATTGTAAATTTGATTCTAAACTTCTCAGGATTACAAAATTTTATTCTGAATAAATAAAGGTAAGTAGATATCAAATGATCAAATTATTTGATTTAATTAATAGTTGGAATAAAAAATGAATTTTTTGTAGGTAATTTTTGCCAGAAAGTATTAAATACGATTATCAATACTTAGTTATATATAGATATATATATTCTTTTTTTGAGATTGATACATAATGTCTTGTAAAAATAATAGTAATAACAGTAATGATAGTGGCAACAACAATAATCAATTAAATCCAATTACTCGACCTCCACAACTTTATCAAACAAACACGACGACGACAACTTCTACCTCTACATCAACTATTTCCACACCTACTTTACCTTCTTCTTCTTCTGTCTCCTCCTCCTCCTCCTCTTCACCTTCTTCCTCACCTACAAATACTTCTATGACTAACATTAATAATTTCATTATCCATAATATTAGCAGTAGTAATAATAGTAATAGTAATAATAATAAGAATGCTAATAATAAATCAATTATACTTGAACAACCAAATTTATTATTATATCCAAAACCAAGTATTTTATCATCAACATTGCAAAATTTTAATAAACAATCAATATTTAACAAAAATATAAATCATAGTATTAATAATAATTATAATAATTATAATAGCAATAGCAATAGCGGTAGTAATAATAATGGCAATAGTAATTTAATTACTTCTTCAATATTTCCGTCATCATCATCATCATCATCAACATCATCATCATTAATAAATTTATCATCGCCTACATCATTAGCATCAACACCATCAACTCCAATAACAGCTATTCATAATAAAAGACCATTTATACAACAAAATAATAAATCTTTTGCAGAATTATTACAAGAAATATTTTCAACACTTCAATACAATCAACTGAAATTATTATGTTCTGAAACACCAATTTCGCCATATGATTTATCGGTTTGGGAATCAATACTAATGAATGAGAAATTTTTCACTACTAATACTGGGTAAGTTAATTCTGTTAGGATTATTTTGTAAAAAAAAAATATTTACGTTAATTTCAAAATAATTATTATGTTAAACGTGATAAATAGACAAGATGCTTATGATGTTGAAATAGCAACTGTAAGTTTAGCTATTGAATTAGGTAATTAATTATATTTCAAGTATGCTTAGTTAATGTTTATCAAATAGTTTATTAATTGTAATGTAAATACTAATTAACTGTTAATTTAGCAAACAATAACTTGAAAACTGGGAATTTCAATACATTATTACAACATTCGTTGAATCAAATAAGTCATATTTTGTCATCGGAATTTACAGGGTAATTAATGATAAATTGATAAATTTATTAATTTATTAAACATTAAACATCGATTTATTTATACTCTCTCAAACGCACATATATATATATATATTAGTGATATTCCTTTTGAAGCTTATAATTCTTTATTTCTTGTGAGAATATTTACAAAACATTTCGCTGGTAACATGACCTGTAATGAGATACATAAACAATTTGAAGGTAAACGATTATATTTTTTCCCCGCACCTTAACAACTAAAAAATTAAATCATATTATTATTTATTATTATTATTATTATTAGGAATAATTCAGAATAACTTTTCAGAATCTCAACTCGATAACAATAGTAATGAAAAACCAGATTTTTCAAAATATCAGAAACTTGTTATTGACCCTGAAATTATGAAAGATTCAAGACTTAAAGCTGAACAATTGATTGATGCATTATTAAAAGTTATAACGAATTTGGATCCTATGTAAGATTTTAAAAAAATTTTCTTTTTTGGAATATTTTGAGAATTTGATAATAATAATAAATAAATAAATAAATCTTATAGATCGAATTTATCAAGTTATGAATATTATCAAGAAACTTTAAATACATTTCTTGTTTTATTATCTACCCAAATTCATCAACCTTGTGCTAAAAAAATTGAAAATAATTATTTTCTAAATATTTTATTTTCAAAATTTAGGTAAATTAAATTAACCAATAGTTGACTAATTGATTTATTGATTGATTTATTGATTTATTTATTGATTAATTGATTATTATAATAATAATGATAATTTAATTTTTTTATTTTTAGTGATCAATTCAATGAATTAACTAAACGATTAATTAATAATTTCATTGAACAAAAACTACCTCCATATTCAACAAGTAATTATTTAATCATATTATATAAATATCATATACCTATATAATGTGATATTTAACAATATTAACTATTGTCAATGTTATCGTTATTATTAGATGTAGTATATAATGCATATTCATATCTATTCCCTAGTAGATCATCAGCAGCTTTACCAACAGATCCTTCTCCAATAGCTGAAAGAAGTCTGCTTATTTTATTATTGTTGGCTTCTCAATCAAGAATATTGAAAGATGGCTCAATAAATAAATTTCGTGAAGCTATTAAATCGCTTAAAGATGTACAAGGTTAGTTTTTTTAGAGGAAAATAAAGAGAAATAAAAAGAAAAAAACTTATTAAATGATTTGCTGGGCCTTTTACCCGGTGATGTGATCTGATTGATGTAGGGTCAGAAAATACAAATACAATGAACATATCGTTTCGATCTTTATATAAATTGATATGTCGGCAAGTAATTCATATCTAAGTATATATGTACAAGGATATATATAATTGTTGCTTCAAAGTTATTAATTATTTCTTTTATTGTTATTATATTTCTAGTCAATTGCCGAGTGAAGAAGTTTGTTTGATTCTTTATCTTTTCATGATTGAAAATGTTGAATTTAGAATTTATGTATTATCTCAGTTAGACCCAGAAACTTTGGTAATTATTACAATAAATTAAGGTTATTTATTATGAATAATAATAATAGTTAAATAGTAATTTGAAGTTTTTTTTTTTTTTTAATTTATTCTTACTAATTTTTTTCATAGTTACTTCAAATCTTAAGATTATTATATGATGGAATAGAGGGTCAAACCAATTATTCACAAATGTACATCTTATTAACAATTTTATTATTGTTAAGTCAAGATGAGATTTTCAATGAAAATATTCAAAAGATTGTATGCATATATATATATTATACTATAAAATATAAATATAATTTATTCACTAATAATAATGCCAATTAATAATAGATAGTGATATATCAGCCCTGGTTTACTGAACGATTAATGAAATCGATATCTTTAGCTGGTTTAACTTATTTGGTGCTGATAAGAATCATTCAATTTAATCTTGGTTCCCATAGGGTAATTATTATTATTAATACTAATTATTGTAAGGTATTATGACAATATTAATATTTATTAACATATTTAATATTAAGGATGTATATTTCCACACTAGTAGTTTGGCAATTTTGGCAAATATCGGGAATAGCATGAAAGATATGCATCTGTATGTTGCTCAAAGACTTGCAAAGTATGTTAGTTATTTATTTTTTTAATATTTGTGAAATTTTTAGATGATGTTTACTAATCTGCAATTATTTTTATTTTATTTATATATTTTTCTTGGTAGTTTGTTTGAAATTGTTTCCAAAAAATATTTAAAACTTTTAAATAAACTTAACCAAAAACAACCAAACGATCAAATGGATGTTGTAAGTAGTAATTTATTATACCTGTCTGTTGTCTATCTATTGATCTATTGATCTGCTTACCTATATATATATATTATCGCACAACGTTCACCTATATTTGCATCATTGATCAGATATCTGATATATCGATATCAATATATGGAGAATTTGTGTGTCTATTGTTAGAAATTATTAATTCAATATTGACAAGACATCTTGCACTAAATCTGGAGCTTATATATTCATTATTACACAAGAAAGATATGTTTGCAAATCTGCAAACACACACTAGATTCTCAGAATTAATAGCTAATATTGATAATGTTAGTAAGAAAGTCATATAAGAATAAATAATATGATGATAATAATGATAATGATACTAATTCTAATAAATAATAACAATTATTATTGTTGTTGTTGTTTTACTTGTATGGATGAATTAATTAGGTAATAAATTATTTCCAAACAAGAATTTCTGAAGTTAATTTAAGATCGCCATCAGCTGAAGAAATTTCTGAGGTGATTGTAACCTCGGCAAGAACTTGGTCAGCTAGTAGACTTAAAGAATTCCCAGAATTGAAATTTAAATATGGAGAAGAGCTTGAATCACAAGAATTTTTTTGTCCGTATGTTTGGTCACTTGTCTATCAACATACTTGGATATATTGGGATGAGGATAAAGTACACATAATAAATAATTATTTTATGGTTAGTAGTAGCGATGGTAACGATGAATATTTTGAAATGATGTGATAATTTGATTTTTATTTTATTTTTTCAATTTCTTTTAGTATGAAGAATCAAATGTTTCAGAAGAAATTAATTAATCGATGTTTTAGAAAGATGGAAGAGGTTTATTAATTAATTGTTATTTATAAATGGCTACATTAAAAAATAGAATATATTTATATATAGAATATTGTTTATTTGTTTATTTTTGCTTTTACACTTGCAAAAAAAATAAAATAGACTGAAAATATCATTCATTCATTCATTGATTTATTTATTCACTTACCATCATCATTCATTTATTTATCTTCTTACTAATCACTGTATTGAATCTTATGAATAGTATAACTCTAGATTCATTCCATACAGGGACGATGATTTTCTGCAGCGAAAAAAAATCAAAATCCGTTAGCAATCACACCAAGAATCTGCTTCTTATTTCTGCTCAAATTCTGCTTATATTTTTTTGCAATTTTGCCAATGAAAAATCAAATTATGAATATTATTCAAAAAATAATAATTAATGAAATTAAATTTTTTAGTGAAATTTCTGAAAATTTATCAGGACTTTTCTGACAGTAATTACAAAACAAATGACCAGTCAAGTGACATTTTCAGCAAATATTGTATAAGATGTCAATTTCTTCCCATTAATATATTTTTTAACAAAATCATAATAATTTTAAGGGATGAATGAATGAATTATAGGCCTAAATAATTATAATAATATGGAGATGTTAATCGGTACTTAACCGTCTGGTCCAGTCCTATCTTGGAACCGGACCAGAATTAAGTCATGAAAAAAGTCCAAACATAAAATGTTTGTAGTAGCTTTTTGGTCAACCTTGATTATTTTACATTTTATGGCCGAGTTCAAGTTAATGTTTTAGCTACACTCGTTGATTAATTGCAGGCTTTTATATATAATGCTCGTCAATTAATTTTTTTGCAAATTTATCCTATTTACTGCCTCTTTCTTGACCTAGAAAGATTCGGTGAATCTGGAAGCACAATTTATGGCGCAAATAACAATGAATTATAATATTATAATAAAAGCAACAAAGGCTCCTATAGAGTTCCTATTTTATTTGCTTTAATTTTTACTTTCTTTGGCTGATTAAAGTCAGCAATTACTTAGAACAATACAATATATGATAACGATAACCGTATAGGTGGTCGATTAGTAATAACTCTTAACGCTTAATACTTTTGCTAATCAGACTTTAACACCTTACGTTTACTCTTAAACAATTACAAAAAGTTGAACAAAAATGTTTGGGAGTAACAAAAACCAAAAATCAAACCTTTGCTTTATACTAAAGGAAATACCCAAAACCTCAAAGTTCTATACCACCAAATTGACTTGTGAATGTCATAATATTACGACATCTGGGGTGATAGCCGTAATTAAATGCTGTAATGTCGTAATCATGCCGTAATTCCATAATATAATAATACCAAATGTAATAATCGATGTGTGATCCAACGTTATTAAACTTCCAAAATATGTACGACCAAGTTTGAATTAACTTTTGAGCTACACTCGTTGATTAATCGCAACCTTTATATTCAATGCTCGTTAATTAGCTTGTTTTACGAAATTACTGTCTCTTTCTTGTACCTAGAAAGCTTCGCTGTAAGCACACTTTTATGGTACAATTTACAGCAAATAAAACGTAGCCTATTATAAAGCAACGAATGCTTTAGTAAAGCTCTTTGTTTATTTACTTTTACTTTCTTTGGCTGATTAAATTTAGCTGTACGTTTGCAGATACTTTAACGCAATACAACAAAGATATTTGATAACGATTTTGGTTAATAAATGTCAACACTTTATGTTTGGCCGAACACGTTTATAAAAAACACTTAAATTCTTTTACAAAAACAAAAACCTTTACGTTTGACAAAACCAAAAATTAAACCTTTACTTTCTATTAAAGCAAACAAAACTGAATTACAAAACCTCAGTATTCTATATAAGGTTTCTATTTGAATAAAATTTATTCTAATTATTTGTTTTATTCGTTATGAATTTGGGTATTCAAATTACATTGAAGGTTTATTCGAATAATTCGAATAAGAATTTGTATTACGAATATAAACTCTAGTTCTATACCACTTTGATAACAAAATGGACAATTAAAATCTTATTGTTTAATTCCCAACCACAAAAATGTTTTTATTAAACAAAAAGAATTAATTTGTAAACATGTTTGTTACAGAAATGAGTTAACTAACAACTTTCTGCCTTTAATCTTACGAGGAAGGCTCTTAAAATGTACTAGCTAATACTAGACAGTTCAATAGTCCATATTCCACTTGGTCAAAAAGCTATTAAAAAATTAATTCCTTATGTTCCACCATTGTACAGTGCGGATCATCTATACTCAAAAGTTAACGTTTTTGAAATATTATGTGATCCACACATTGGATTTTAAAAAACTCACCGCCATTCAATTCAGCTTTAAAAGTGGAGTCTATTAATCTAAAAAAAAATTTGTCTCGAATTTTCTTTTCATAGATTTTTTAAATTTGAAAGTTATGCTCAGAAGTGCAACAATAATTTTCGTGTTACAATATTT